GGCCGGGAGCGGCCACTGCACTCCAGTCTGGGCAACCACTCCCGGCCACCGCACTCCAGTCTGGGCGACAGAGTGAGACTCCAATTCAAAAAAAAAAAGAAGACACACAGATGGCCAACAGGTATATGAAAAAATGCTCAACAAACCATCGGGGAAATGCAAATCAAAAACACCATGAGGTCATTTTTCACCACAGTTTGAATGGCTATTATCAAAAAGACAAAAAATAACAAATAGTGGCAAGGATATGGAGAAAGAGGGATAATCATTCACTGCTAGAGGGAATGTAAATTAGTACAGCCACAGTGGAAAACAGTATGGAGGCTCCTCAAAAAGCTAAAAATAGAATTTCCAAATGATCCAGCAATCTTCCTTCTGAGTATATATTCAAAAGAAAGGAAATCAGTCTATCAAAGAGCTATCTCTACTTCCATGTTTACTGCGGCATTATTCATAATAGACAAGATATGGAATCAACCTAAGTGTCCATTAATGGATAAGCAGATAAAGAAAATGTGGTATACATGCAAAGTGGAATACTATTCAGCCATAAAAAATGAAATCTTGCCATTTACAGCAACATGGATGGAACTGGAGAAATAATAATGGAGGAAATAAACCAGGCACCAAAAGACAAATGCTGCATGATCCACTTACATGTGGGAGCTAAAAAAGTGGATCTTGTGGAGGTAAAGAGTAGAATGCTGAGAAGGAAAGAGGGGAGAAGAAATGCAGAGAAGTGGGTTACTGGGTATACAAATAGAGTTATATAGAAGAAATAACTTCCAGTATTCAATAGTATGGTAGAAAAACTCTAGTTAACAATAATGTACTATATGTTTCAAAATAGCTAGAAAAGAAGAACTATAATGTTCCCAACACACAAAAAAGATAAATATTTGAGATGGTGGATATCCCAGTTACCCTGACTTGATGATTACACATTGTATACGGGTATCAGAATATCACATGCATCCCCAAAATATGTACAAGTATGATGTATCAATAAAAAAAATTTTTTTTTTGAGTTGGAGTCTCACTCTGTCGCACAGGCTGGAGTGCAGTGTCACACTCACAGCCACCCCAGCATTGACCTGCTGGGCTCCGGCGATCCTTCCTCCTCAGCCCTCCAGGTAGCCAGAACTACAGGTGTGCTCTACCACTCCCGGCTAATTTTTTTGCTTTAGTGTAGAGACAAAGTCTCACATGTTGTCCAGGCTGGTGTCAAACTCGTGGGCTCAGGCAATCCTCTTGCCTCAGCCCCACAAAGTGCTGTGATTACAGGCTGACCCACTGAGTCCGACCAAAATTTTTAAAAATAATAAAAGAATTACTATGATTTTTTTTAAAAATGAGAAAAACTGTGAAACACAGAAAAAACACCTCCTTCACAGCATAATTTCCAGTCAGTTATCAATACAAAGATACAAAAATGCCTGGCATATAAATGTATTTTGCAACTGAACTTTCAGTGGGATGCTTCCATGTGCTGACAAGGTAAGGAATTACTGAACTTACCTTCTGCTGAAGAAATGGAACCCACTTGCAGTACACCAGCTCCTGGCGATATGGCTTTGTAAAGGATCCAACATAGGACACAAATGCCGCCATGAGGAGAACATCTCCACAGAGTGTCTTCTCTTGAGCTTCAAAGGACTTAATAGACTGACTCCAGCGAACCTTCTCTGACTGAAAGATAAAATTACCCAGATGTAATTTCAGGGTGAGCATCAACTTGACAAATGCAATCACCTTAAGCATGGTTTAAGTCTACACAGTCTCTAGAAGGAACAGCACATAACTAGTTGGCATGACTATTTTAATCTTTCATGAGTTTGAAACCCACCCTTATGAAAGAGTTCTCATATTTTCCTCAATAGAGTTTATCAAAAGATCACATTAGTTTTTTAACATCTCCTAGTTCTACAGCATTTCCTTCTCATTAGAAATCCTAACTCTTTAATTATAATTGAGGTCCTTCTTAAAAGGACCTGTCTCTCCCCTGTCCCTCTGAGAGTGGAAGACCAAGAGCTGTAGCCAAGAATGAGTGTTGTTAGGATTTTTCATGTCAGATGGGCTGTTCCCTTTTCTCCTACTTTTCACGACACTGTCCTAGGCAACTTATATTTATTTATTTTATTTTATTTAAACAGGCTAGAGATTGGCTGATTACAGACAAAGGAATATATTAAATGCTACTCACTTTTTATTAAGGAAAACATAAACCTTAAATAGCCATTATCCTGGATTCTGTTAATTAAAGAGTAGTGCTGGTAGTTACTTTCTCATGTTATTTTTCTAATAGAATCATGAATTCAGTATGATCTATGCAAAAAGATAGAAATTAGAGCTTCACCAGCCTTGAGGACAATACTCTCTAAGAATATTGTTAAAGTCCTTATATCTAGTTGGATGGTCATTTAAAATCTGATTTACAGGTTAAGTAGTTAGAGACCTTAATATTGGATTTGGATAAAGAGGCAAAAACATGCATGGACTGACTGAACTGGAGGAGAGTCCACTAATTTACTTTGTTCCAATGCATGCTAACAATTAATACAACATTCTAACAACATGCAGATTATTAGGACCTGAAAAAAAATCAGCAATTTGATAGTACAACCCAAGGAGCACTCCATGGAATTCTACTTTTTTCATGAAAAGAAGAAAGACCACAAAAACAAAAAATGATGTGTGTTAGAACAGACTAGAATACCAGTTCCCTGAGAGTCATCCTAATACTACAGCACTGAGGTCATGAAATTAGCAAGTGAAAATGGTTATCAAAGCTGTTTCAAGACTGTCTCTCTATTTGATAAAGATCACCCCAAATTAACTATATAATTAAACCCCAGGAAACTTTGGCTCTCTAGCCCTCTTTATAGAATTTATGACTTTCCTTCCTCAGTCACAGACAATATATCCATTAATTTTCAAGAGGAATCGCTCATTTGCCTACCCTCCATCTTTGTCGGTTTTGGTTTGTAAATGACAAACAATAAACTGCACCCACCTCATTCTCCAAAACAGCTTTGAAATTTGAAGATTTACTAAACAGAGACTTATCAGCTACTGCAATCGTCAATAATTTCACTATACCACCCATGCAACATAAATCATTACTGACATTGGCTAACAAGGGTTTAAGAATTGGAACATGTCCTGTAATAAATTTCTAGACAGTTAAAAATCACTATAATTTTATTCTAATGCATTATAGATTGCCTGTAATGTCATCCTGGCCGGGGTGACCCATTTCTAATTTTGAACAGCTGTTCAGCTCAGGAGTTAGTTAATGATTAAATATAAATTGCCTGATTTATTAGTCTGAATGGTTGAGCTTCCAGGTCAATGCTATATAGACAAAATCATCAGTCTTGATGTTTTTCAGAAGTTAACTGTCTCCTGTTCTAGTCAGAAGGAATTTATCCTCAAAGGAAAAGATCTGACATCTTCAATTAATCCTTTAAAAAAAAATATATTTTTTCCTAGTTAACACTATAAAATCTTTTTTTCCTTCCCTTGTCTAAATCATCACAAGTAAGCAGAGTCTTTGGAATATTGCTATGGTAGAGACACATGGTATGGCCTGCTTTTCCCTTGATAAAACTTTCAGACATTCTATAACTACTCCAGGAAAACAGTCTAATTATATGACACTTTTTCTAAGGTGCCTCACAAATGGTGAACACTTCAAACCACTTAAATCTTACCACTTTCAGTGGAAGTAGTTGTAAATACTAGTAGTGGTGAAATTTCTCAACTGACCTAAGATGAATGAGTTTTCAGGTGGCTCCCCAAACTCACCCATTCATTCATTCAACAAATATCTGTTGATGCCTATGATGTGCTAGGGACCATTCTACATGCTTAGGGTCAAGCAGTGTACAAAACAGATGAAGTTCCTGTCCTTGAGGAACTCACATTCAAGTTGGTGGGAAAAGGGCCCCCCAAAAGTGTTTGTGCATATTGTATATACATACATGTATAACTGTATATGTCATGTGGTGTGATAAATGCTATGAAAAAATAGCACAGAGTAAGTGGAGAGTTACAGAGCTCTCTCTCTCTGTGTGTGTGTGTGTGTGTGTGTGTGTGTGTGTGTGTGTGTGTGTGTACAGAGGCAGGTCAAAGTGTGTGTAGGGAGGTCAGAGAAAAACCAAGGGATAAGGAGAGCTTTCAGCAGATCCCTGACTAGATGAGGAGCCAGTGGTGTGAGGAGCCAGTGGTGTGATTACGTGGGAATGGGAAGGCCACATGGAGGGAAAGTCCAAAGGTCACAAAGTAGGAGAGTGACTGGCAGTATGAGGAGGAGCAAGAAGGCCAGGAAGACGGGGCAAGAAGAAAGGCGACAGAGATAAGAACAGAGGAGGATCCGAAGACAGATCACAATGAACCTGGTGGCTCAGGTCAAGTCTATGGACTGTACTTTGAGTGAGACAATGAGTTACTGGGGAGTTCTGAGCAAAGGGGTGACTGAATGAAATTAAGTTTTTAAAACATCACCCAGCTGCAATGAGGGAAATGAACTTTAGGGCATAGTGGTGAAGGCTAGGCAGTGGGTACTCCAGGGGAGAGATGATGTTGTCTGGACAAGCAAGGAGAGGTTTTGAGAATGCAAAGTGCTGAGATTCTGAAAGGATCATAAACACAGAACCAATAGAATTTGCTGACGGACGGCCTATGGAATGTGAGAAAGAGAGCAAAAAGTCAAGGGTGAGTCAAGAGCTTTTGACCAGAAAAACTGGAAGAAGGGAGTTTTGCAGTTACTGAGATGGGACAGAGTGAGTGGATTTTGCAAAATGAATTGAGTTTATGTGAAATGAACTATACATTTCAGAGGGAGAGCGGGCCTAAATCTGTGATAAATTTACATTAAATTTTTAAACATCTACTATCTTTGTAAGAAATTAGATTATCAACCAGTCATCTCAACAGACATTTCACATTCCTTTCTTGCTAAGAGAACCCTGATTTTGAGTAGGGTGGTAATGTGTCCAGCCCCATGAGATGGACTGTTATTGGCTCAGCCAATCATGACAACCATGTTTTCCACTTTTCTGACTTTTTTTTTTTTTTTTGCTGTTAGGAGTAGTTGGTCTAGTTCTGGCTAAAGAAATTTAAGTGGGAGTCTGGCAGAGATGTCTCTAAGAAAACTTTAGTTGTTCTTATACAAGGAGAAAAACTCAGCTGATACAGACTGTTCCCTTTCTCTACTGCCTAAATATGAAGGTATGGCGGCCATCTTGGAACCATGAGGCAAAAATGCATGAGGGTGACTGCCCACCAGGCAAGTATGGAGAGGCAGGAGGGGACAGCGAGAGAGAGACTGGATGACTAATCACTGGTCACCTGAATCAACACTGATAATGGTCTAGTCTTATTATGTTTTGTAATGTGTGAAACAATAAACTTCCATTTGTTTAAACCACTGTAATCAAATTTTCTATCATCTCTAGGTAAAGGCATTTCTAACAGTGCAGTATATATTTTAGTGCAGTTATATACTTAACAGCTAAACACATTGCTAAATGACATAGTTAAAGACTTTTTAGTTATATCCCTTGTTATTACTTTTTTAGCTGTGTACTTTTTTTTTTTTTTTAGAAAGCAGGATTTATTGAGAGGACAGAAAAGCTCCCACAGTGGGAGGGGACCAGAAGGGGTTGCCCCTAGTTATATACTTTTAAGTACTTTCTAATAGCACAGCTATATGCTTTATACTAAAAAAAAAAAACAACAACAAAAAAAAACAGCTTTCTTGAGATATAATTCATATACTATGAAATTCACCCTTAGATTATACAATTATTTTTAAATACATTCACAGACTTGTCCAATATCATCTCCAGTATCTAATTTTAGAGCATTTTACTCACCACACAGAGAAACTGTACATCTATTAGTAATCACTCTCTAAACCACACACCCTTGTTCACCATGGCAGCCACTAATCTACTTTCTGTCTCTATAAATGTGCTTTTTCTAGAAATTTTATACACATGAACTCATACAATATGTAGTATTTTGTGTCTGACTTCTTTCTCTTAGTATGATTTTCAAGATTCACCTATGTTGGAGCATATATCAATACATCAATCATTTTTATAGCTGAATACTATTACATTATACAAATATACTACATTTTATTTTTCTGTTCATCAGTTGATTGGCATTTGGGTTGTTTCTACTTTTGGCTGTTATGAATAATGCTTCTATGGATATTTGCATACAAATCCTCTGTGTGGACATTTGCTTTCATTTCTTTTTCTTTTTTTTAATTTGGAGTCTCACTACATTGCCCAAGCTGGAATGCAGTGGCATGCTCATGGCCACCCCAGCGTCAACCTGCTGGGCTCAGGCGATCCTTCCGCCTCAGCCTTCCAAGTAGTTGGAAATACAGGCGCATGCTACCACGCCTGGCTAATTTTTTGATTTATTGTAGAGATGAAGTCTCGCCAAGTTGCCCAGGCTGTTTTTGAACCCATGGGCTCCGGCAATCCCCTCACCTCAGCCTCCCAAAGTGCTGGAATTACAGGTTTAAGCCACTGCACCCGACCTGTTTTCATTTCTTTTGGATATATACCTATGAGTGGAATTGTTGAGTCATGTGGTAATGTCATGTTTTGCATTTTGAGGAGCTGACAAACTGTTTTCCACAGAGGCTGAACCATTTTCCATGCCAATCAGAGATGTACGAGGATTCTGACTTCTCCACATTCTTGCCAATACTGTTATTGTCCATATTTTTTATTACGCTCATCCTAGTGGGTGTGAACTGGTATCTCATTGCGGTTTTAATTTGCATTTTCCTATTAACTAGTGATGTTGAGCATTTTTTCATGTGCTTACTGACCATTTTGTATATCTTCAATGAAGAAATGTCTATTCAAATCCTTTGCCTATTTTAAAAGTGGATTACTTACCACTTTGACTTCTTTTAGGAAACACTTGCACACACATTATATCTTTTAAGCATCATCACACCCTTGAAAGGGAGATATTATCCACATTTTCATTTTAGAGACAATAAAAAGTTGAAGAGGTTCAGAGATTTGTACAAAACTGTTTAATACCACATGATAGGGCAAATAAAATTTGTAATGTGTTCTTCTACCACTTATGTTCAAGCAGGGGAAAGTTAATAAGAATTATAAAAACTTTATTTAATGGGATCACTATTAACATTAGCATGTCAGTCAACTATAAAAAGATGTAACAAAAAAAAAAACATAAACCAATCAGATTTTGCTTGAAAGTAATAATCTGCTGGTAGAATTCAATGGCAAATGTATATTAAAAGGATCAGACACCAGTTCATACCACAGTTATCTAGTCCTGAGTCTTAGAACATATTTTAAGCAGAAAATGCTTAATTTTTGTTTTTAAAGCCTTTCACAATGTAATAAGAAAAGGAGGAAGGGAGAAAGTAGAAATTATATGTAGAGAACCCGCCCATAGCTGACCTTCTATTTGTCTTAAAGTAGATACAAAATAAGTAAATTCCAGTAAAGTGTCTGTCTTTCCTGTATTAATTGGAGACCAGGCTGACGTCATGCTGAATTCATGGCTATATACTAAAAAACACATATTTGGCCATTTCCTCTTTTAGTAAGTTACATTCACAGTACAAATGATAATTAAATATTCTTCTTTATTATTGATTCCATGTTTATTTAATTATTATTCATAGAAAATAATAATAAAATCCCAAAACAGGTGATCTGAATATTTTAGTTAGAATTTTGGAAGAAAAGGTTTAACTTGCCTCAAGTTCCTTGACGAGTCTATTAGCTAGTTCAATGGTTTTATTGGTTTGGTTCACCTCTTCTTGACACCGGACTTTCTCAGCAATTGCTTTTTCAAATGAAGCTGTGAGTCTGCCCAGATTTCGATCCAGATCCTGAATAAGAGTTTAAATTAACTCTTGAGTCATTTTTAGTTAAAACAAAAATATTACAATCTTAAAACATCTGCTACTTTACAAACCTTTTCCCTCCTTTAACCTTTGCCCCTTTATGATGCATATTCGAGGGAAGAAGGAGAAGAAAGATACAGTGATAATAAATGCATCCATGGCACAAGTTGACAGTTCACCATGTGGTCTTCTCCCCTTCCTTCTCCACTGGGCAGGATGCAAGGAGCCACTGGGTGAATGGATATGCCCTGAAGACTCAAATACACTGTCAGTACACTATTTCCCTCTGCTCTTGTGCCTAAGCCTCCCATACCAGCTTTACTAATGATAAGGGTGAATTTTTGGTTAGTCACCTATTGAATCTATGTCTTTGGGTTCATAACTCAAGCAATGAAGAAGGGTATTAATCACTAAATCCCTTTGGATGCAGTTTGGCCTATCAGATTTTTATCTTCTGAGAACTTGGGATTGAAATTCTGAGATAGTCCATGGTCTTTAGCATCGAAAGGCCCTGGAGGATGTGTAAATTTTGAAGGGCTTCACTTAGAGGGGGAACACCTTCCATCAGGGACACAGAAAAACTACGGAAAACCATTCTGCAGAAAGAGAAAAGGATGAAAGAGACATACAAAGAAAAGCAAGATGAAAAGTCACACAGTCCTAGAGAGACACCGAGAGAAGTTAATGGTAGCTTCCTGTTTCCAAAGATTCTTGAGGCCTAGTCACATTTTAGCCTTGAGTCATGTTTGTCTCCTGTTTAAAGTATTTTGAATGGGTTTGTATCACTTATAGTCAAAAAGTCTTGATTAGGGTGGGCTTGCAACATTGCTTTGTATGGATTCTTCCTGTGGCTGGAAGGGCTACCATGAAGCAGCAGACTGGCACCTCCCTCACCAAGTGAAGCAGAGAATAGGGCAAGTTGCTGTTAGACACAGGTACCCTGAACAGTTTTGGGTGGGTGAAACACCCTCCACCCAGCAGTGGTCTCTTCCAACACGTAGAGACCAGTAAGCAGAGTGCTGCAACTGCAGATGCTAGATTTGGGGCACCCAATCCCCTCCCGTGTGCCAGGCTTGATAGGACCTGAAGCCTTGCCCTGCAAATGAGAGAGGGTGGGTGATCCTAACACAGTATGGGTCAGTTCCCTGCTTCCCGGCTGTACCCGAGTGGTTGGTCCCACATGGGAGTAACCCTGATCAGGGCAGCAGAGTGAGGAACAAACCTGTGCTGGAGCTTCTGAGTGCCCACCTTCTGCTTCTGAAGCCTGGCAGATAGCTCCCAGGCAGGGAAAGCTCACCTGCAGATTAAACTCGGCAGGTACTCACTACGAGTGTTTGGTGACCAACACCACCTCCAGATCAGGAAGGATCACTAGCAAGCCCCATGGCAGGGAGTTCTCACTCTTTCAAGTACTGAGCATGGACTAGAATGGGGAGGGAGTCACACAAAAGACATCTGAAGTCGTTCCCAGTGGGAAGGAATCTGGGCTGCAAACCACAAACCAGCAGATGTGAATCCATTTCCCCACACATTCCCCACAGAGTACTTGTAACAAGTCTGTAAAACAACCTGACTGGACTAACCATGGGAAAAACTCTTCAGCAGAGGTATCTTTTTCAGGGTGGAACATGGGGCAGAAGTGAGTAAGTGCCCCTCTCTCTCTATAGAACAACAGAAAGGGCCCTAGAATAGAGAGACGTTAGCTTCAGAGCAACAAAACCAAAGAGGAAAGGTTGAGAGGGAAGAGCTGGTCTCCACAAATGAAGGGTGGAGGGAAAGACAGGAAATCCTCAGAGTCTCAAATAGTGCCTGAAAAAGCAGCTAACAGTGGACAAATAATGAAAACCCCACAAGATGCCCTGTCCATGATGAAAGTCAAAGAACTCAGAGATTGGATGGCTAAAATGAATAAAGAGAACTATGAGAAACTAGAACAAAACTCACCAAGGTAGTACAGGAAGTGAAAGCAGAGCTGGCCAATTTCAAAAAGACCCATTCTGAAATAATGAAAATGAAGAACTATATCATGGAGATTAAAAACACATTAACAAGCATAGGAAGAAGGATTAATCAGGCAGAGGAAATAATTTCAGAACTTGAAGACCAAAATATAAAACTAACCCAATCTGTCAAAAACATTGAAAAAAGGCTCAAAAAGAATGAGCAAACCCTCCAAGAAATGATGATGTCAAGAAGCCAAATCTACACCTGATCGGTATCCCTGAAACAGAAAGGGAAACTGAGAACACCATGGAACAACACCATGAGGTCATCCAAAAAAACTTCCATATCTCACTAGAGTGGTGACCATTCAAGTGCAAGAGATTCAGAGAACCTTTGCAAGATATCACTTGAGAAGACCATTCCCAAGACACATAGTAATCTACCTCCACAAAGTAAGCATGAAAGAAAAACTCCTAAAGGCAGCAAGAGAGAAATGTCAGACTACTTGATGAAAAGACTCGACAGAGTTACTCAAAACGTATCTGCAGAAACACTACAAGCCAGAAGGGACTAGAGTCCCATTTTTAACATTCTCAAAGATAAACATTTCCAGCCAAAAATTTCCTACCCTGCCAAGCTAAGCTTCATCAGTGACAGAGAATTAAAATCCTTCCCAGACATCCAGTCTGTAAGAGGACATGCTGCTACCAGACCAGTCCTTCAGGAGATGCTTAAGAAGGTGCTGAACACAGAAACAAACAGTCATATGCAGCACAAAAGTACAGGCAAGCACAGAGTTAACAAAGCATACAGATCATTCACAAAAATGAAAATACACATATAAATACAAAAGTAAAAAGGAAGCAAAACAACTTCCTAAGAGCCCTATGACAGGAATAAATCATCACATTCCAATAATTAATTGGAACTAAAATTAAATGGACTTAATGCATCACCAGAGAGGCACAGAGTCGTAAACCAGATAAAGAAACATGATCCAGCATTCTGCTACCTCCAGGAAACTCAACTCACTGCAAAGGGTACCCACAGGCTCAAAGTTAAAGGCTGGAAAATGACCTTTCAGGCAAATGGTAAATTTGAACAAGGAAAGAACAAGGGTAGCTATCAGACAAAGCAAACTTCAAACATCAAAAGTTAAAGAGGACATAGAAGGATATCACATAATGATTAAAGACTCAATCCAAGAGTAAGAAATATCCATCCTATTCATATATGCACCATAGGAGCACTAGGCTTTATAAAACAACTACTAGGTAAATTAAGAGAGGAAATTGATACCAACTTGTTAGAGACCTCAATACTCAGCTAACCACCCTAGACAGACTATTGAGGCAAAAAAACCGACAAGGAAATCCAGATCCTTAACTTGACACTCAATCAAATGGATTTGATGGCTATATACAGAATGCGCCACCCAGCAACTACAGAGTATACATTCTATTCATCAGTACATGAGCCATACTCCAAGATCGACCACATTCTTGGACATAAGTTAAGTGTAAACAAATTTCAAAAGGTCAAAATAATACCATGCATCTTCTCAGATCACAGTGGAATCCAAATAAATATTACCACCCAAAATATCTCCCCACAACACACAAAGACATGAACACTAAACAACATGCTGCTGAACGACCTCTGGGTCAACACAGAAATCCAGATGCAAATAAAAAGATTCTTGGAAACAAATAAAAACAAAGACACATCTTGTCAGAGTTTCTGGGATACCATGAAAGGAGTGTTGAGAGGAAAAGTCATAGTATTGCATGCGCCCACCAAGAAAATAGAAAGATCACAGGTGAATATCCTAATGTCACACCTAAGGGAGCTAGAAAAGCTAGATCATCTAAAACTAATTTTGGTAGAAAAATCCAGATCATTAAAATAAAGTCACAAATGCAAGACATAGAAGACAAAAATATAATAGAAAGGATCAACAAGACGAAAAGTCAGTTTTTTAAAAGGATATAAAAGATTGATGGACCCCTGGCCAGATTGACTCAAAAAAGAGAGAGAAAAAATCCAAACAAACACAATTAGAAGTGAAAAAGGCAAGGTCACAACTGACCCCAAAGAAATTCAAAAGATTATTAGAGATTACTATGAACACATGTATACAAATAAACTAGAAAATGTAAAGGAAATGGAGGATTTTCTGACATCACACAGCCTCCCAAGGTTGAAACAAGAAGAAAATGAAGCTCTAAATAGACCAATAACAATCCAGGAAATTGACTCAGTCATAAGAAACTTCTCCACCAAAAAGAAGTCCCAGACCAGATGGCTTTTCAGTTCATTTCTACAAGACATACAAGAAGGAGTTAATACCAATCTTATTGAAAGCAGTCCAGGCAATTGAGAATTATGGAATTTTCCCTAACTCACTTTATGAAACTAACAGCATACTGATACCAAACCTGGGAAAGACCCAACAAGGAAAAAGAATTATAAACCAATCTCCTTAGTGAACACAGATGCAAAAAGTCTCAACAAGATTCTAGCAAACAGGATCCAATAACACATTTCAAGGATCATCCACCTTGACCAGGTGGGCTTCATTCCTGGGATGCAGGGCTGGTTTAACAATCAAAAGACTCTAAACGTAATTCAGCACATCAATAGGTGTAAAACCAAGAACTATGTGATTATCTCATGAGACACAGAAAAAGCATTCAATGAAATCCAGCATCCCATCTTGATAAAAAACCTTGAACACCTAAGTATAGAAGAAACATTCCTCAGAATAGTAAGAGCCATCTATGATAAACCTACAGCCAACATTTTGCTCAATGGGCAGAAGCTGGAAGCATTCCTCCTAAGAACTGGAACAAGACAAATTCACCCTAAGAACTGGAACAAGACAAGGATACTGACTCTCCTCCCTCCTACTCAATATAGTGCTGGAATTCAGACAAGAGAAGGCAATCAGGGGTATCCAAATAGGAAAAAAGGAAGTTAAGCTATTCCTCTTTGCAAATGATATGATTCTATACATAGAAAATCCTAGGGACTTTATCAAA